TTTTATGATGTTGAGCACAACTCTTGTTACTTCTATGATGTTGAGCTCAACTCTTGTTACTTCTATGATGTTGAGCTCAACTCTTGTTACTTCTATGCTGTTGAGCACAACTCTTGTTACTTCTATGCTGTTGAGCACAACTCTTGTTATTTTTATGCTGTTGAGCACAACTCTTGTTATTTCTATGCTGTTGAGCACAACTCTTGTTACTTCTATGATGTTGAGCACAACTCTTGTTATTTTTATGATGTTGAGCACAACTCTTGTTACTTCTATGATGTTGAGCTCAACTCTTGTTACTTCTATGCTGTTGAGCACAACTCTTGTTATTTTTATGCTGTTGAGCATATGATGTTGAGCACAACTCTTGTTATTTCTATGCTGTTGAGCACAACTCTTGTTACTTCTATGATGTTGAGCTCAACTCTTGTTACTTCTATGCTGTTGAGCACAACTCTTGTTATTTTCATGATGTTGAGCACAACTCTTGTTACTTCTATGCTGTTGAGCACAACTCTCATTATTTCTAAGTACTAAGTATTTAGAAACTATTTTGAATACAAAGAGAGTCAGTTCTTCTACTTTTTCAAATATCAAGTAACAAAAACTGCATGCTACCTAACATTCAATATGATATATGATGCAAACAATGTGAAAATGACCAAGCTCTACCATAAGTAAATGAGAACTTATGTACAGGGTAGTTATAAGGTGACATCATGTTCAATAGATTAAAGCATAAAAACACAGGAACATTTAATGTATAACTCATCACAGAATGGTGTATCAGTTGCAGAATATGATTTACAATAATTAAATGGAATAATCAATGTCGATACCTGGTTTAAGAAAAGAAAAAAATATTGTTAACATGACTGAAAATTCAGCAAGTAATAATAGCACATCTACTATCAAATTAAAAATGTAACAGTATGCCCATCAGTAAACAAAAGACTTAGATATGCTAGATAATGTACAAATTGTCAACACTGCAACTAGCTGTCAGCCGAATTTTGGCTTTATAAAGACCTTTGGCAATTTTAAAGTCCAAACTTAAGCCAAATGGGACTCAAAAACATGTTTTAGTAATTATGGAAAGAAAACGAAACTATATATATGAACTTAGGGCCTTACATCAAGATTTAACATTAGATAAACAAACAGCATTTCTCACAGCTTTACTGTATGTAAACATGGGGCATGATATCAAGGTTTTACTGGATGCAAATGAAAGGCATGATATCAAGGTTTTACTGGATGCAAATGAAGGGCATGATATCAAGGTTTTACTGGATGCAAATGAAAGGCATGATATCAAGGTTTTACTGGATGGAAATTAAAGGCATGATATCAAGGTTTTACTGGATGCAAAATAAAGGCATGATATCAAGGTTTTACTGGATGCAAAATAAAGGCATGATATCAAGGTTTTACTGGATGCAAATGAAAGGCATGATATCAAGGTTTTACTGGATGCAAATGAAAGGCATGATATCAAGGTTTTACTGGTTGGAAATTAAAGGCATGATATCAAGGTTTTACTGGATGCAAAATAAAGGCATGATATCAAGGTTTTACTGGATGCAAATGAAAGGCATGATATCAAGGTTTTACTGGATGTGAATGAAGGGCATGATATCAAGGTTTTACTGGATGTGAATGAAGGGCATGATATCAAGGTTTTACTGGATGCAAATGAAAGGCATGATATCAAGGTTTTACTGGATGTGAATGAAGGGCATGATATCAAGGTTTTACTGGATGCAAATGAAAGGCATGATATCAAGGTTTTACTGGATGCAAATGAAAGGCATGATATCAAGGTTTTACTGGATGTGAATGAAGGGCATGATATCAAGATTTTACTGGATGCAAATGAAAGGCATGATATCAAGGTTTTACTGGATGGAAATTAAAGGCATGATATCAAGGTTTTACTGGATGTGAATGAAGGGCATGATATCAAGGTTTTATTTTACTGGATGGTTGGAAATTAAAGGCATGATATGAATGCAGGCATGATATCAAGGTTTTACTGGATGCAAATGAAAGGCATGATATCAAGGTTTTACTGGATGTGAATGAAGGGCATGATATCAAGGTTTTACTGGATGTGAATGAAGGGCATGATATCAAGGTTTTACTGCATATAAAAGAGGGGCACTATATCAAAATTTTACTGTGTATTAACCAGGGGAATTATATCTAGGTTTTACTGTGTATTAACCAGGGGAATTATATCAAGGATTTATGGCATTTCAAAATACAAAATTAGGGGCACAATACCAAGGTTTTGCTGGAAATAAACAAGAGCCTTTTCGTATATGAGTTTTGTATATGCAAAGGGACATTACCCCTAGGTTTATGTAGATAAAGGGACAATACCCCTAGGTTTATGTAGATAAAGGTACATTACCACAAGTTTTTATGAAGATAAAGAAGGGACATTACCCCCTAGGTTTATGTAGATAAAGGGACATTACCCCTAGGTTTATGTAGATAAAGGGACATCACCCATAGGTTTTATGTAGATAAAGGGACATTACCCCTTGGTTTTATGTAGGTGAAGGGACATTACCCCTAGGTTTATGTAGATAAAGGTACATTACCCCTTGGTTTTATGTAGGTGAATGGACATTACCCCTAGGTTTATGTAGATAAAGGTACATTACCACAAGTTTTTATGAAGATAAAGAAGGGACATTACCCCTAGGTTTATGCAGATAAAGGGACATTACCCCTAGGTTTATGTAGATAAAGAAGGGGCATTTCCCCTAGGTTTATGTAGATAAAGGGACATTACCCATAGGTTTTATGTAGATAAAGGGACATTACCCCTTGGTTTTATGTAGGTGAAGGGACATTACCCCTAGGTTTATGTAGATAAAGGTACATTACCCCTTGGTTTTATGTAGGTGAAGGGACATTACCCCTAGGTTTATGTAGATAAAGGTACATTACCACAAGTTTTTATGAAGATAAAGAAGGGACATTACCCCTAGGTTTATGTAGATAAAGGGACATTACCCCTAGGTTTATGTAGATAAAGAAGGGGCATTTCCCCTAGGTTTATGTAGATAAAGGGACATTACCCATAGGTTTTATGTAGATAAAGGGACATTACCCCTTGGTTTTATGTAGGTGAAGGGACATTACCCCTAGGTTTATGTAGATAAAGGTATATTACCCCTTGGTTTTATGTAGGTGAAGGGACATTACCCCTAGGTTTATGTAGATAAAGGGACATTACCCCTAGGTTTATGTAGATAAAGGTACATTACCACAAGTTTTTATGAAGATAAAGAAGGGACATTACCCCTAGGTTTATGTAGATAAAGGGACATTACCCCTAGGTTTATGTAGATAAAGAAGGGGCATTTCCCCTAGGTTTATGTAGATAAAGGGACATTACCCATAGGTTTTATGTAGATAAAGGGACATTACCCCTTGGTTTTATGTAGGTGAAGGGACATTACCCCTAGGTTTATGTAGATAAAGGGACATTACCCCTAGGTTTATGTAGATAAAGGTACATTACCCATAGGTCTTATGTAGATAAAGGGACATTACCCCTTGGTTTTATGTAGATAAAGGGACATTACCCCTTGGTTTTATGTAGATAAAGGGACATTACCCCTAGGTTTTATGTAGATAAAGGGACATTACCCCTAGGTTTATGTAGATAAAGGGATATTACCCCTAGGTTTATGTAGATAAAGGGACATTACCCCTTGGGTTTATGTAGATAAAGAAGGGGCATTTCCCCTAGGTTTATGTAGATAAAGGTACATTACCCCTAAGTTTTATGTAGATAAAGAAGGGACATTACCCCTAGGTTTTATGTAGATAAAGAAGGGACATTACCCCTAGGTTTATGTAGGAAAAGAAGGGACATTACCTCTTGGTTTTATGTAAATAAAGGAGGATCAGTATCTGGGTTTCACTGACATGGATTTCAGATGAGTCATACTTATGCTTCCTTGACGGAAAATAGATTGATATCTATATCTAAAACTGTAAGTTGTTTAGAGGGAGATCCTGAAGAACTAGACATTAATCTGAAAATAATTTAAAGCTTCAATGTTTGTACAAAATTCTATAATTAATACCAACACAATCTCTGAACACTGGTAATTATCAAAAACAAAGTAAGCACCATCATGCACACAAGCCGCTTACTTCAATGCCACATTTGACCCTTATCATGGTAAGCTTCTCCAATGGTCATGCTATCTCTGTTTACTATGAATGGAAGCACAGTTGAACTGACAAAGCAATATACACATCCACATTTGGACTCCAGGAGAAGGGGTATAAATCAGTGTTAGTGAATTTTCTGATATACAAAAGACAGCTGTTGCATAAGAGAAACCATTTAGACATAAATACTGTAGGCACCAACACACATGCTGTTTAGGTCTCCACAAAAACGATGAAACTATCTGCACCAGGCAAACATTTCACAGTGAAAATTATCTATCACATGAGAAAGTCTGGTTTCACGTGCATAGATATTAAATAAAACATCTCATATAACATTATAAAAGACATATTACAACAAAAAACCTTTGCATGAAGAGTTAAGTTACTTCTGAACTATTCATTAATAATAGCATTAAGTAAAATAAACCCCGTTATTACATAGATTTATTAATCAGTGACTAACAGATTTTTCATGAATACTGGATGCCAAGTAAACATTAGACTTCCTGACTGACCAAACAGTGTCATAAATGTCTATCTCTCCTCTGTAATTTGACTACAGCAACATGAATTCAAACAAATAAATTCAAAACAATCCCAAAAACCAGAAATTTAATCAAACTTATTTCAAGAAAAAAAAAACTTCATAGTTTATCACTTTATAAAATTATTGCATACAAGACGGTTTTAACTTAACAAATTACTTTCTAAATCATGTGTCAAATACATGTGAGGAAGCTTGTGTCTGTACCCCAAATCAGTTTCTACCCGTATATACATATAATACACAAACACTGCTATGTCACTAAGTAACCCTGTGGTTTCTGGGCAACTGTTGAGTTTTTGAAGCAGGCAGAACAATAAAATTGAGTAGCTTCTGTTCCAAAAAAAGTACAACCTGCTGTTCGACAGGGAGCCCCTACCCCTTTGTTAGCTGTGTTGGCTACTTTGGGTTGAATGACCGATGGATGGACAGGTCCTGGTGGGTTGGGAGCTGTTATATGTCCAGTCATTCCAGAGTTGGCGGTAGCCATTCGGCTTTGGCCCGAAGGGTTAGTTGCTGCTTTGGTATGAGTCTTGTAATCCACATTATCATAATCTGGGGATGGAGTTCTATCGCGGGCCAACATTACATTTGAATGAAGTTTATTGTTCAGCTGTGAAGAAAGTAGACCAGACTTTGATGCCAATAATTTTGGATCTGGGATAAATGCATCATCATCTGCAACCTCATCTTGTGATATATAAAACATGGACTGTCCACATTTCTTTACAACTTGTTCAGAGTTTTTTGACAAATTTGGAGGGTTGGTAGACTTATTGCTTGATTTCTCCTTTTGTAACGCCTCGAGTCGTTGCTCAGAGAAACACTTAGAACACAGGTAGCAGGTCTCTGGATTGCCATACATGTTGCAATCAGAGGTAACACACTTCGTCAGATGATCGCCATCAGCATAAGTACCAAGAGATCTTCGCCGGATTTCCTCTCTGCTGGGTCTCATCAGCTCTTGATCCTGCTTAAATCGTAACTCGGAGTCTTGAAGATAGTTGTTGATCATGCGTCTATGAGTTTGGCTTTGAGATACTGAAAGTTTGGCACACCACACAAATGTCTGCTCTTGTTCTGACATGGCTGCTATGGTGAGTGGCACTTTTGTACTTTGTGTAACACCACCTACTCGTTTTCCCTTCTCTGAATCTGGCCCCATTGACTTGAGCGCCTTCCCCACACTTCCAAAGTTCTTGCGCAACTTTTTACCAACACTTTTTCCTAAACTTCCAAACTGCTTTGTCATGTTCTGAATCTGCTGAGACATCTTGCTGTCACGCTTCTTGTCCTTACCAATACAACCCAAATTTTCATCCGACTCATATGACCCTGTCGAGCGAGCATCACTATCATAATCACTCTCACAAAGAATTGGCAGTTTATCCATATCCAAGAATTGCTGGAGCAGATTGATGCGATCCTCTAGACTATTACAAACACTTACACCAATACAATTACTGCGACCCCAATCATACGCTGCACCTGGGTCCACCACAAAATGTAGAGGTAACAAGCCAAGGTCTGGTCCAACCAAAGGAACTGCAGCTACAGGACAACAGAAAAATAAATATACAGTAACAGTATAACTATGTACACAACATTACATATATAAATTGGACATTACATCTTTCTACTTTGGATGACTCAAAAGACACTTTACTTCCACACCTCTAAAAACTGAAATTGAATTCTTCTCTTTTTGTAAAATTTAGATTTCCACAATAACTAAAGTTTCTCAGAACACCTCCCCCCCCCCCCCCAACTCCCCTTCCCCACCCAATTTTGTTTCCTCTGACATTCATCTTTTCACTTCTCTGATTTTATGATGTCTTCGAAATTGAAATATCATTAACAATAAGGTCAAGATTTAGTAATGCTGATTCTCATGGAAAGAAAATCTACAGGAGAGCTAACATTTTATATTTTTATTTGGGTTTACAAGCCTGATCTTGTAATGATGGTTGTTTAATTTTACATACTTCAGACAGGAAAATGTCTATAAGACATTAAACACTTCCAACATCCAATGCAAACCAGAATACAATGGGGTAAAAATATGAAAGAGATCTGTATAGAGGTTGTCTAAATATCGAATGGGATGGACAGACATGGTTAACACCACAAGCCCCACCCATAAAATGGAGATGGATAAATCACAAGCTGCAAAATCACCTGGAAGAGCAGATTTATCATCAGTTGGTGGCGAGCTTTGTTTCTCCATAGGCACTAGAGCTGAGAAGTGAGCAGCATCATAGGTAAGCAACAGTGGTGATCTGTAGCATGACTTTGCCTCAATTTCTAAGGGAAGGTAAATGCCACCAAAAGGTATTGGAGCGAGAGCATCCCCATGGGAATCCTTGAGAATGGTGTCAGCCACGACTATGATGGCTCGTTGTAGGACATGAGCCAACACAAACACATGGAACTCCTCCAGACTTTCATATACAACAGGGGTGGATGTTTCTCCTCTGTAACAGTTAGTGTAACAAAGTTTTCTTTTATCTCAGTTTTAACACAAACCTTACTCAGCTGTCACAAAGGAGTAAAAATTAATATTTTAATATATTCAGTTCTTCTGGTCCAAAAATAATTAATTTTTATATGAACAGTATAATATGTTGGTGCCTCACATGTGGTATTCAGTAGCTGTAACTTCAACTGCAAACATACTCATGATTGCTATGGACGTGAATTTGTACTGATGACATGACCAGTACTGACCAAGATATAAATTAGATAGAATTTTCAGGTAAGACTTCTGTAAATCTAGACTGAATACCACATGCATCCACCACACAAGAACATATAAACCATAGTTTAGTGCTAGCTTTCTAGGTGTTGATATCAAACTTGACCATACAGATCAGACTAAGCTGGTTTCTTATTACACATTGCAGGCAATCTTAAATTTTCAAACAAAAGATCCGAGAGGCCAATCTGTGATCATGACAAAAGGCAATTTGAACAATACGCCATCTTATCATGGTGGGCTAAATATAATGATTTCTCAGACATTGACAGTTTTAAACCTATCACAACACTCCATGGTCCATCTGAAACTGATTAATAGTGAGAGTAGATGTTTCATATTCATTAAGTTATATATAAAGTTAATTCTTTCTTACCCCTGAGTAATGGCACTATCGCAGCAACTACTGCTGCGACGGGACATGCCGGGGAGGGACCTTGGACGACTCGATGCCAGCCTCAGGATGCCTTTCCATTCCTGCTGCCATTCTTCCTCAGAGAATATAAGACCAGACTGTAACATATTGAACACCATTAAATCATAAAATATCTATATCAACCTTTTTGTAAAGCTTGTCATATGCAAGTTCTTGTGGGCTGGGTTTACCATTCTGTAAACAGCCACAGTCATTTGGAGCTGCAGTTTCTCCTAGTAGTAATCAGTGGCTAATTAACTGAATATCATAAGGAAGGCCAAATGTAAGTTGTCCAATACATTTTTTGAAAATGTTGTGCCACAAAGATGCAGCACTTTACAATCCATGAACTAGAACCATATACTTTGGATCTTTCTATGGAGATTAGTTTGTATGAATACATCATGTATTTAAGGATAAGTTTTGCATTTTATTTCAACAACAATTATACATAAATGCAACAAATTTTCACAGCATGACATTGAATTCCAAGACTTTCCAGGAAAGGGCTGTAATTCAAGGACATTTATGAGCATACAAACCGCATTTGTAAAAATATTAAACCACTGATATATAGCAAAGAAAATGAAGATTTTGTTATTTGCGGCTATTATAAGAACTGCAAACTATTATAGGTACTGTCAATAGATCTAGAAATAACACAAATATAAATTCTATCATCTTTTTCTATTTTGAATTTTTAAAAACACATAATGTGATTAAGGAGCAACCATGACGTATTAATGCTTTGGTGTATCTAATTACACTCCAAACACAACAGCAATGATAGTTCAAACAATGTTTATAAACCTACCTCTTTGTTAACCTGTGTCTGCTGCCACCTCCAACGTCTGTAGAGAGTCTTGCTGTAGGTTTGTTGTGTGAGTGTGTCATACAGGGCTTTCCTTAACATCAACTCACGATCATGGATTCCCCACATGGCTGTTATGATAAATCAGATCAGGTCAAAGGGAGACAACTTCTGTACTTTTTGCTAGTAACATACTTTCAATTCAATGATTTCCCACAGGCATTAATATTAATTAAAAGCTCTTTATTGACTTCCTCTCACATAGATGGTTTATTTACTGCAGATCAGATTCACATACACGCTATCCATCACATGATTATTCACACTGTGAGCATAGGCAAAACTATTATCTATTTCAAAGCAGATATTCTTTGTAATAGAGAAATTGATTATTGACTGAAAAGATGGTCATCATAAAAAAGTAACAGAGGGATAAATATTGGAAAATAGTCTTGTAAATGTTCTCTGCATAGACTCTTAGAAAACTCCTATTCTACACAAAGGAAACTGTAACTGTTCTCAAAGTTTGAAATATCTTCTGTTAGTATTTACCACAATATCTGATCCATACATCCAAATCCTGTTTTCAATACAAAGTCTTACAGGGAATTATATGTCAATCAATTTTTATTTTTATTCTAATACATATAATAACCAATTTTATCTTTCAAAAGTAAATGTTGGATATCTGATCTAAAATATGTCAAGTACAGTAATATTTTCCCCAAATTACCACTTATCAGATTACTGATGATAATGGTAAAATCTGATGAAAACATTATATGTAAATATTAAATATTATTGCTAAAATTCCTACCTAGTGATGCTGCATGTAGTAGACAGTTGCCGTCCCCCGAGGTGGCCATAGGAAGGAGTCGTTGACAGATCCCCATCTCTGCCCACCAGTTTAGTCGTCCTGGCAATTATATAAAAAATTTCGAATTAAAACAGGGTTTGGACAAAATTTTCATGTTTTCAAACTCTTCTTTGTACAGGTTATTATCATGAATATAAACAATCCTTTTCTTTCGGGAGGTACTTCACTATTCCACAGACCCACAGACTTGACATGACAGATGTGTCACATTTCAATGATTCCTTAAGAGATGGTGAAGCTTCACTTACCTGCTTGTTCCAGGGACACTAGAGTGGAGGTTTCAATCAAGTCTTTCTCCAGGAAAGCACGATAGTCGGAGGAAAAGACAGTCAGATCCGGTAAGACAAAGGTTTGTACATACATATGGTCATGACTGTCCTCCTCTATGTCATGCAGGAGGCTGTTCCTGGTTGCACTCACTAAGGATTCATTCTCAACAATCTTAGAGAAACCACGCTTCAAAGGTCGGGGGGCTATAACATAGTCAAAACTTCAGTAAATGTATCATCAAACAGTTCATAAACATTGATAACTGTAGGTATAATACAGTATGAAGAGAAAGGTAACGTGATATTTAGAGAAAGGTAAGGTGATTATTTCAGGAAATAACATACTAAAAAAAAAAAAAAAAAATCATTACTTGGATGCATGGTACCAAGTTTTGGTCCAAAATAGATATGTGGTTAAGAATAAGGTTAAGATCAACCACCACTGTACATCCAACAACTTAAGAATCTAAAAGCAATAGACTGTTAACAAAAGAGACTTGAGTAAGTTAATAAATGACTTTAAATTCTGTTTCATTTTTTGATCAAAGGACAAAGATCCACATAAGCTTTCACTCACATGATGGTGTGACATGTGCTGTCTTGGTGTCCAGACCTCCTGTAACCCCTGACTCTCCCTGGTCCCCTGTGGGTGTCGCATCACCTGACCGAGTTTCGTTGATAGATTTAGCAGATGAGGAGTGTTTACCAGTGGTTACTATCTCACTGACTGGCCTCTGTATAGATGTGGTCTGGCTTGGTGGTAGTGAGCCTCCTACCATTTTAGACGGTGATCCCCTATTGTTCTGTAGGATCTCACTCTGAGGTCGAGGTGCATGAAGTTTTACTCCTGGCACTTGACTTTGTTGTTTATCCTGAGATCCAAATCCTGATGTATGTTGATTTCCAGACTGCATAGAAGTATTGGACCGTTTCTGACATTCAGTCTCCATTGCTACATGATGGCCAGGCCCATGGACATTGATGACTGATATTTTCTGTCCAGGAATGGACCCTATTCCAGATCTGATCTGACCATTTTCAGGGCTACTCGACAGAACATTTGATCTTGAGGTGATCTCTGGGTTCTTCCCTTGCCCAGACATATGCTGACTAGGTGTTCCCTGATAGGAGGTAGTTTGCGGTTTGACTACTTGAACTTGGAATTTGCCGTGGTCACTTGTTAGCCTCCCTTGATCATTATACAACTGATTATGTTCTCGTTGAAACCGACCTTGATCACTGGGCAACCTATTTTGATCCCCATGAAACATAGCATGGTCACCTGGAATCCTGTTGCGCTCTCCAGACAGCAACCCTGGATCTCCAGAAAATCTCTCATGGCTGCCCTGAAACCTGCTTTGGTTTCCTTGGAATCGACTTGGGTCTCCATAAATTCTACTCTGTTCCCCAGGATGATCCCTGTACTGTACTTGTTGACTGACTGGTCTCTTGACTATAGGAGGTGGGGTGGAGGTGCGACCTGCTGCCTGTGACAGAGGACGTGATTTCTCCACTTGTATTGGAATTATCCTCTCTTGTTGTGAATGTGGCCCATGGTACATAGCTGAACTCCTGGTGTACGTCTCTTGTCTGGGCTGTCCACTTGAGTACCGCTGAGTATTGAACACGTTGGAAGGGTGACCACTTTGCATCCCTGGATTACTGGACATGTGGGACGGCTGACTGATGGTCATTCCTGGACCACCTGATGAGCGGGACGGCTGACCACCCGTAATCCCTAGACCACTGGACAGGCGGGAGTGCATCGGTGGCTGGACGGGTTTGATCTTGCCAATTTTGACCAAATTGTCAAACATGCGATAGGATTCCACTAGGTCCCAGTCAGTACCTACAACAAGCCAATATGTCAACAAACTTAGATATTTAAACAGAATCTTCCATCAGAAAATAACATATTAACATTAGTTCCAAGAAGGCCTGGGGTGATATTTAATGTGTCAGAAGTTCACATTTTTGCCATGACCTTGATCTTGGCCTAGTTTTTCAGAAAATTATCATTTAGATTTTAACATATTTGACATCTGACTCTGTGACAGGAGGTCTATAAGTAGGTCAGTTCATTGAGATAATTCTATATTATTTAAGACAGAGGTTAGTAACTCAATTTCCTATTGCTAATACATAAACATTTTCAGTATGATCTAAGAAAGTACTATTGAAGTCAGGATATTCGGGTCCTTTTCTGGTGTAGAATTTGAAGTGTTCATGCACTTTCCCATATACAGAAGCTCAAGTACTCTGCTGATAACATTGATTAATACACATTTAATTTGTAACCAATTTCCACCAAGCTATAAGAAACAATTGGACAATGGAGACCTAATTCCCCTACAATGAGATAGCTCTTCAGTGTTAGAGATAGTAAATACAGGGATCCTTGGGTGGATACCTAATGGTATTTAGTAGTCCTCATCCTGAAAGGCTTTCAGCAAATGGAGTAGAAATGCGGAGTAAACAATATCCGATGAATGCAATTGAAGCTGTTTTTAGCCATAGACCTCCATAATGCAATCAGTCAATGCCTTGCAGCCACTCAAATGTAGTAATAATTTGAATTCACATAAATTGCCACTCAGTCCCTCCATAAAACAATACAGTATAGTAGTAGCCACTGTTAAGCAAAGCTGATTTGAATATATCATAATCACTCTATAATACTATACAGCCCATACTTAGAAGTAGCCACAGAAATGTAAAGCTAATCTGAAGTTTCTTCTATGTTAGTATACAGCAGTAATGGCTATAGGAACAGTTCTTAAATGATCATATTTTAGCAGTGATGGCAAAAACACTACTCAATTCAGTTTCTTAACATAAAGACAAAATTTCAGCTCGACTGCACAAATGGAACTTGAGTTGAAGTATAAAATAGGTAACAACACTTTGTCAGGACAATCTAGCGAATCATTTCAGGTAAGTTTCAGCTCAATCTCACAGATCATTTCAGGTAAGTTTCAGCTCAATCTCACAGATCATTTCAGGTAAGTTTCAGCTCAATCTCAGCTTGTAAAAAGTTGAAAATGTAAAAAAAATTATACATGGCAACAGATGAAACATGATGGCTGTAGGTCAATGTGACCCTTCCATTCAGATGACCTAAAAACTGAAGGAGCAAACACTGTGCTGAAATGTCTCCCAACCAATCCTAATACAAGGTTGTATGTGGACCAATACCAAACACTAGCCATGGTAATTGATCCTGCCACCAAAAATGTGTCAAAGAAGCTTACGTGACATAGAGGTGACTGACAATCACAAAATGTTGTATCACACAATTTACACAGTAACAGTTGTGAGAACTCCAGAGTCAGACATTGACAAAAACATCCATCAATGACTGTCAAAGATTTATGACAAAATATTTACATATATAGTAAATGAATCCACATGTGCAGTTGTCACATAGTAGCCAGTAATCTTGTCTGTCAAAAAAAAAAAAAGACTCACTTCATTCAGTCAGCTCAAATCTTCAGCTTAGCCACTTAAGTATTGATTACCTTTTTCATATGACCATCTCTGCCCATAGAATTGATTTTATGTGTGGTGGGTATCACTACATCACAGCCGCACTACTGCACAAGGCAAAGTGATCACTGTTTCACAAGTCCCTCCTCCCAATCAATATTCACCTATGACCTGTGTGTTCTTTACGAGTGGGCCAGGTCAGTTCAGCTTATCATGAGGAAATTGAAAAAAAAAGATAAGTTAAGAAAAAAAAAAGACAGGAATTATTTCCACTTTGCTTGAAGTTGATTACTTGATTCCATCACAAATCTGGTACACGCATTTTCTGTTTTGAATTTGGGTCAGTGCTTAATTATCACAGAAGCCAAAATATTTTCTAGTCCTCAATTAAATCAGGCTTTGAGCAATTTGAATGTGATCATACACAGAACATCAATTTACTTAATGAGGTCTTATCATGGTTAAAATTGAAATACTGATACGGAGACAATTCAAACACTTTAATAGTTCATCTGCTTTTTCTCTAGTATCCATGTTTTTTTCTAAAATCAATATATGTAGGTCAAATTTAAGCTTATCACTGCATGTTTATGTTTATTCCATTTGTCCATGTAACAGATTTTCTTTATTCCAGAGAGCATCTTAACCAAACTAATAGACACAAGCTTAGCCAGCACACACTTTGGTACAATTGAATCCACCCTTCCTGGCCTAATCCTTCTTTACCGCTGGAGTCATTACTCTGTATAAAATGAATCCACCCATCTTAGTCTCATATCTCTGTACTACACAATGAGTCCAACCTTCCCTGTCCCATCCCTCTGTGTTGTACTATTGAATCCATCTTTCCTGGGTTTTTCCACTGTACCCATTGAATGCATCCATCTTGGACCCATCAATTTGTATTGTACCATGAAGTCCATCCTTCTTGGTTTCATTCCTCTGTGTCCTCTGATCAGTCTACCCTTCCACCTAATTTCGTCCCCCTGTATATATTGTACCATTGGGTTTGTGATCATCTTTACAGCTCTTTGGTATTTTACCATAAAGTCCATCCTTCCTTGTCCCATACATATTTAGCCATTGTGTTCAGTCCAAATCAAGTTGAACTTCCAAAACATTTACTAGATGATTCTGAAGATAATTTCATCACTAACAAATATATATAATTAAAACTGTATTGTAACCAGTACATTGTATATGAGGAGACATCTATACACTTTCAATCAGTAAATGTCACATCTCTCTGAATCAAGTAAGTTTCAGACCATATAAGGAATGATAACTTGACCTAAATTTTCAGCTCTGTGAACCAATTAAATTATATCTAGACTAAATCAGGTTGGTCTCCTTTATCCCTACTCAGGCATCTGGTTTAATGATGGTTTAGATTATCCATCTGGGCACTGTATGTAATCTTACATGATTCACATTTCATACTTGTATCATCATATTGATAAACTGATGTATAATTCAATTCACCTGCTTTACAATGGCATGAGTATACCCGAGACTTGGCTGATTAAAAATTTGTTATCAAATATTCTGTATGAATGGATTGTATAACAACAAAGACAGTGTGTTACTATATGATACTATATGATGCATTGTCTAACATACAACATTAACTCCCACATGATTAAAAAGTACAATACCAAAATCAATAGCACTCTTATGGTGCCATCAAACATGTTAAAGGATATATAACTTTGACCAAGGTGACCATGGGGATTGGTCATGTGATCATTTAACATCCAATCATCAATGACCTATGGACTTCAACTCCAAATACAAATGTGAAGTGATTATCTAAGAAGGATTCACACCTGCTGTCTCTGATTGTACTCATGGGAGCTTCTTACACAACTAGACACAAACTAGTGGTCAATGTTTGCCACAATTTTACTTGTGTTGATACAGGTGGAGCCGTGATAATTATGGTGCTGGCTACAGAGAGACTAATAAGGGGTATGATTAAGATTATGCCTGAAATGTGTGTATGCTTGCTGCTTCAGTACAAACACAAATCTGTCACTCAAATCTCAATGATTGGTATTAAACAAAATGTATAAAATTATTTTGTTGGTTATTGTATTGTTTGTAAGACCTGATTTTGAATGATCAAATGTTTTGTTCATTACTGGCTGTGTATATGCAACTACCAAATAGTGACTGAGGGTTTCTTTATTGGTTGAAAGCTTAAAGAATAGTCCAGACCTTATTGATGTCATAAAAGGGGCATAACTCCCTAGCAAAGCAGCAAAATGCAAAATGTAATGACATGTGTAAAACTATCAGTAGGTAGTGATCATGTACCCTAATCACCACATAGAGAAAGGATGATGAATACTTTTTCCTTGCAGACCGAGAGAAGGATCAACTTCTGATTCCCTGATTCCAGTGTAATCCCTCAGTAGGCAAATATGTAATAAAGAATAATATAACGACTTGTTTGATGATAAAGACCAAAACATTGTGTAACATTTACCTGGTATGTATTGCTGATATGGAAACAAAATTTTAAAGTGATACTTCGAAAGATGTGAAGGGTTAATGAGCATAGTAATAGCTATTTATCATCATTAGTATATACTGTATTATGTACACTTAACTTTTACAATAATAACTATAACACACTAAATGAACTACAGCAGTAATCATTTAGCCAATATCTCTATTCTGTATAAACCTTTCTATAATATGATACCCACTTACACAGTACAATATTTATAAACATGTATGAATACTAGTGACTGAACCAGATCAATTATAGAAACAATGGATCTTGTTTCATCTGAATAAGTCACATTTACAAATCAATGCAATACTTTAAATGAAAGGTAAACTGTGGCCTCCACCACTGCTAAACATACTATTGTAGCTGTTTTCATATCCAATATTACTCTACTTAAGTGGCATGTCAAAACGTCTTTTTAACCAACCAAGCAATGATATTTGTAATAGAATACACGGTCTACTTACAGCTGGGATGTACAATCTCCTTTCTCACACTACATTAACAGTTCTACCTTATAAAATACCTATACCTCATCATATGAATCCGTCAGCTGTGACCAACTGTAAAGGAGAATTAATAAAAAAGCTGAGGTATAAACTTTAACTGGCAGATTGTGTCCTTTATGCATGCTTGTAGTGTTTACATTATCAGTATTTACACTGTAGAATCCCCAAGTTCATGTTATACATAGAAGCTGTATTCCATTACTCAAGATACCTGCATGTCTTTAAGGCATTGAAGTTTTAATCAACATCTTTCATTTCCTCTTGTTACCAATAAAGTTACCTATTAAGTCAGCTTTAAGATCTCTTTCACCTCTTAACAAGGCATAGCAAACCATACAA